ATTACTAATTACATTGGGTTTCATGCTACTTCTCTTCCCATTAAGTATTTGGGTGTAAATTTGATTAGTGGTCGTTGCAAGAAAATGCAATTAGATGAGGTTGTGGATAAGATCAAGCAAAAAATTAATGATTGGAGGAACAATTTTCTATCTAATGGGGGTCGTATCACCCTCCTCAGAAGTGTGTTAATGAGTATCCCTTTATATGCTCTTCAAATATTGAATATTAAGAAAAGTACTCAAATCTAGTTGAAGAGATTATTTAATAAATTTCTATGGTTGGGTTACAATTCTAGGAAGCATTGGGCCACTTTCTCTAAAGTCTCCATGCCTTGCTCAGCGGGGGGTCTTGGTTTTAAAAGTTTGAAGCCAATCTTGGATATTAGTATGTGCAAACTGTGGTTTAAATTTTGTTCTAATACTTCTTTATGGGCTCGTTATCTTCATCAAAAATATTGTGGTGTTCCAATCCAGCTATTGTGCAATGGAAAATGGGGGATTCTATGATCTGGAAAGCTATTTTGAAAGTTAGAGAGGTTGCGAACAACTTTATATTTTGGGATGTTGGTGAAGGTAAGATTTCATTTTTGCATGATAATTGGGGATTGGGGGATAGGGATTTATCTATTCTCACTCCACAAAATAATAAGATGATTATTTCTAATGTCTGGTTGGACGGTAATTGGGATGTTAATAAATTAATGTCTCTTGTAGGGGATAAAACCGCTCTAGTCACTAAGATCCCCATAAAGAAGAAAATTAAAGACAACCCTATTTGGAAAACTACTTCAAATATTTCTCCATCTAAATTGCTTTATTTGAAACTTTATATGTATGATGATTGGAGGTGGGGGAATAACATTTGGAATAATTTTCTTACTCCCTCCATCTCTTTTTTTTGTGGAGATTTTTTCTTAACATGCTTTTTTTTATGATATCCTTAAACTTAAAGGGCTGAAATTTGCTTCACAATGTGTTTAATGTAAAATTGAAGAGGCATCTTTTTTTTCCATTGTTCTTATGTTACAGAGATTTGGAATGCATTGAGAAAACATTTTCATATAAATTGGTTTGATTGTGATGACATTAAAAGCTACCTCCTTGAGTGGAGAACTGCAAAGTTGATGGATTCTAAATTAGATAGTTTTCCTTTGTTGATGATTTGTTTATTTGGGTAGCAAGAAATGACCATATGTATCAAGTATTGGGACCGGGTACTACTACTACGATTTCTTACATTCTTGCTTATTTATTTCGAGCTTGCCGTATTTTGGGTTTGAATGATAATTTCACCAACCTAAGGTGGGTAGGATGGCCACTCTTATTAAGTGGCAAACCCCCGCTTCCAAGGTGGCTAGAGCTGGTGGAGTTTTTAGAGATCACTTAGGGATTTGTAGGTGTTTTTGCTTCTCCGACTATTGCCTCCTCCCCTTTTGAGGTAGAATGTTGGGCTTTTTTATTGTCTTTGAAGGTGGCTATATCTTTTAATTTATCTAATATGATCATTGAGACTGATTCTATAAATATCTATAAGGATTTTGATATGAATGCCATACCTGAGTGGAATGTTGTGGGTATTTGGAATAGAATCAAAGATCTTATTGATAAGTTCATTCTTTATATTCGTTTATCTCATATTCTTAGGGAAGGAAACTCCCCGATGGATTGGCTAGCGAGGAGAGGTAATATGGATGAAAGTATTATTGTTGGTGTTTCACCAACGTCTCAGCTAAAATATCTACTGTTAGTAGATTCTATTGATTTGCCTTACATTAGGCAATGATTTTATTTCAGTTTGTGATTTTGTTACTCTTCTTGAAGGTGTGTAGTTTTTATTCATTTGTGGGAGTTTCTCTTATTTCTACCTCTTGGCATTTTATTTAAAGGAGATGGCATTCTTGGGATGTGATGCTGGAGTGGATGTAAATATATATGCGATGGTACTATGATTGTACTGTTTCATTTTATAAAGACAAAATGGTATGTGGTGAAAGCTACATACTAGCCTAGCTACTTTACTTTGGTTACATAGAAAAGAAATGATGGTTTCAGATTTTTTTATTATACTTATTAAGCTGAAATAATATAAACAGATATTATTGCCTGAAAACAATTTTCGATGCTCTCTATTAACCTTCCAGTTTGTTTTTGCTTTTGTCACTGTTGCTATGTTGCAGTTTTTTATTCCCGTGGTTGGGAGGATGAATATAATATGATTTTGTGGAGGGGATTTTGGCCTTATCTACTACATATGTTTTATGAATATAGAACAAAATTTGGTTAAAAATGATGCTTGGAGTGGGATGTTATACCTTCTGATACATTAAAATCTTTGCTGCTATTTTTATGGGTGCATTTACTGCACTGAGTTTTCATTTGGGTAAGAGAATGGAGGATTCAAAACGACCAAGATCATTATCTATTTTATGGATGCCTGTTTGTTAGCTAGGGTCTCATCTACTGTATAGACTGAAGTGATTTTAGAGGAAGGTGTCCTGCAGTGTTTAATTATAGAAATTTTATATTTTCTGGAGTATTTTTTGATTGTTGCAGGATAACATGCTCGGACTTTGATTCGAGGTTTTAAGGCGTTAATATTTCTTGGTTTCAATCGACGGCGGCTGGCAACCTCAAGAAAGTTTCTTTTGATACTATGGATTTTTTAAGGCAATTTGGATCTTTTGAATACCCACAACAACAACAAGTCTAAACAACAACTTGTCTTTTTATTTATATTTGGAGTTACATTTTTTTATTTTGGTTTACTTGTATGTGATGGGTTATAAATTTGGTATACGTTATTTTTATTATATATATATATATATATATATAGAGAGAGAGAGAGAGAGAGGGAGAGAGGGAGAGACACACACACACATTAGCATAAAAATATGAAACGCCATCGATAAGACTGGTGTGACAAAATGACACAACACTCAAGAAAATGCAATCATTATTAGAAATAAAAAAAATTGAATTACATTTATTATTTACAAAAAAAGGTGAGGGTAGCATCATGCTTCACCCTCAGATACAACCAAGAGAGGAAAAACTTAACAAAGTGGTTATTTGCGACTTCGTTTGGGACAAGCCCTTCTTGATGCATCATCTCATACATAAGTTCGCCACCCAGCTTGAAGATGTCATTTTGACTATTCCTTTTGCTGGGCGACAAAACCCTCTCTAACAACCAATAGCTCTTGACACAACCGAGCTATCTTCCAATGATCAGTCAACATCTCCACTAAAAAAATAGCAAGTTCCTTACAAACTGTAGTGACTTCTTTCTCTACTAGGTCAACTCACTCCAAGACCTCAACAACACCATCATCATTATCTCCTTGACGTTGTACTATGAGACAAAGAAAGCACTCCTCTATTTTGGCAATCTGACACACCAAAACGTTGGCATACACCTGACACCCCTCAGATGCCGCCTTCTCTGCTGCCGCGTCGAGAGGAACTTAACCGCCCACACTCCTGCCTCCGTCAGAGGAAGGATTCTCCCCTATCCTCTGGGCCACAGCATCCTGCTCCATGGTTCCTTGCTCCAAAACAACCTACTTCTCGATATTCACTCCCCTCTCCGCTGCTTTGTTCCACAAAGGCCATATCGCCCTCAGGGTTGGTGTCAGAGTTTGAGGAAGTGGAAGAGATCGTCAGAGCTCCTGCACACATGATTCAAACTACATACCTACAATTCTACACCATTCAAAAGTAGTGTAAAAAATGAAGTCCTCACCAGTATCCTCTAGTCTTCCCTCGGAGGAAAAGCCACCCTTTTGCGACTGAAGCTATGTCCCCACTTCAGCCGGTACCTTTCCGAGTCCCTAAGGAGTCATAGCCCCTACGCCAGTCTAAACGAACATTCCTCCACTTTGGGCAGGAGTGATCGCCTCTAACGGGTGTCCCGAAAGATGATTGTCGATATGCTAGCCAACTTCCTTCGTGGCTCTCCCCTATGAAGAGCCTACAAGAAAAGCAGAAGACCTAGTTTGATCTTTTTGTTCGCTCGCTCACAACCCCTGTTCAATCCTCTTCTTGCTCAACTCTTCCGCGGAAGCCTCACTTGCTGGTTTCCGCTTTATGTTGGGTTTACAAGTCTTCATCCACATATCACTCATAGCCTTGAGAATAACACTCTTGTCGGCTTATGATGGGATACATACACGAAAAAGAAGAGATATAAGACTAAAGAAACAAGAAGAAAAAGAAATGATGCAAACCTCCCTTACCCTAATACCTATTTATAATTGTCTGGGCACATAAATCCAGAGAAGTTCATTATTGTGCAATAATATCATTTAATTTTTTCATACATGTTAAAAAGATACTCGTATTCTCGTGTATTGTCCAACTTCTGATGAGCAAGAGAATCAGATAATTAAATATGTATATGAAAGATATGTCAGCATAAATCTCAAGAGAAACGAATGGTTCTAGAGCGAGGAATGATTCGATTGGATGCCTTATTGACGATTGAAGGATTGGATGCTAATAGAGAGGTGTTGAGGTTGGGCGATCAAAAGAATGCAACGAAGAATTTTCTATAGAATGACGATCAACTTCAAAGCTGATCGATGAGTTACTCAGTTTCAGACCGTGTACCAATGAAGGCATAGCGAGTGGTTGAGAGACTTTTCATTGAACTAATATATTTGCCAGCCTTATTATACTCTAATGTTATTGTAATTACTAAGAAGTCCCCCATCTAACCAAATGATGAGGGGACTGACTTATAAATTTATAATAACTATAACATATTCCTATAAATAAGCGTTCATATCATTAATAACTACTACTCTTTTATTGTTATCTACAGTGCCCTCTATCTCTCTAACCACTTCCTAGAAGAACAAACTGTGGATTGTGTGTGTTTTTCAGACTTTTTTGAATTTATAAATAATTAAATATAATTAATCTTATTTATAAAATGAGCTGCATTTAAAAATTTAGCATTTTACCGCTATCTAATTTTATAAATGGATCTGAACATAAATTTTGTAGTGTTGCTTCTCGGTCCAAGAGTTTTTCTTCCCTCACTTCGGATCTTGCTCGCAGAGAGGGAGAGGAGGGAGAGGAGGGAGAGATGGCGCGGCCCGCCACAGTGTTGATCTACTTAATCCTGGCTGTCCTTCTCCTCCTCCTCCTCCGTAGCCACCACTCCCCCGAGCATCGCAACCATCTCCACCACCGTCGCCTCAAGCTCCGCCCCAATTTCTCTTTCACATCGCCTCCCTCCGCCGGAGACCGCTATATCCCTTTTGACCCCCTTATTTCCGACATCGAACACCGGCGCGAGGATCGCGAGTGGGAGCGAAGCCACTTCAACATTCCCTCCGCTCCTGGCGAGGAGGCCCAACCCGAGTGGGAGGACTTCATTGATGCCGAGGACTACCTCAATGACGAGAATCGATTCAATGTCACCAACCGGATCGTCCTCCTATTTCCTCTCATTGACGTGGATCCTGCTGATCAGTTTGTGTCCCTTGAAGAGCTTACGGAGTGGAACCTAAAGCAGGCGGCTAAGGAGGTGATGCACCGGACCGGGAGGGAGATGGAGATGCACGACAAGAATCGGGACGGGTTCGTCTCGTTTGCGGAGTATGAGCCACCTAGTTGGTCTCGAAATGGTCTGTAAGATCGCTCTTGGGTTTGATCTCCATCACACTACTTGTAATTTTCAAAATCATAGCTATTAATATTTTTTAATTGTAATTGGGCTGCGACATAATGAATTGAATAGAAGATAGTTGCTTTGGTTGGCCTCGGTCTCGAAATTTCCCCTTTAAGATATAGGATGCATGCTTAGTATGTCGCTACTATTTTTACGTACTAGTTTTGGTTTTTAAGTGATCGATCATAATGAAACCTAAACTCTAATCGAACATTATGATTTTGGACTGCCCTGTATGTCAGCGTCAGAAAGTCTAGGAGCTCCGCATAAGATCAAATCACTGTTGTCATTGAAATCTAGTTCAAGTGTGTAAGGGATGCCCAATTAACACTGCCATTGCCCTGTTCCAAGACCCGAAAGGTGGAGGGCTATATTAGGCAGACATCTATCATAAAAAATGGTTGAAAAATCATGACATTAATACTTTAAATCATTTTGTAAAAAATACACAATGTAAGAAAGCTTGAAGTGGTTTGCATTATCTATGAATTTTGAACTTTATTTTTGTAGATAACATTTCCTTTGGATATGATATGGGTTGGTGGAAGGAAGACCACTTCAATGCTTCAGACATGGATGGGGATAGCCTTCTGAATAAAATTGAGTTTAATGAGTAAGCTTTTTTGTTGTTTAAATGTCTAGGTTTTTTTTGTATTTTTTTCTTTCAAATTGCATAGTATTTAAAATTTCCACTTACATTTTTAATTATATATCTTTATATTTCTGCAGCTTCTTACATCCAGCTGACAGCGTCAACCCTAAGCTGATTAAATGGCTGTGTAAAGAAGAAATAAGGTTCAGTCTCTCATCAAATTTTTATTTTTCAAATTTCAATAACATATTGTTGAAAATTTTGTAAGTTTTATCTAAAAGCTCCTATCAGGAGCAAATATGATGAACACAAATATTATATACAAAGTGACTAAGTAGCGCAAGAAGATGCGTAGTTTTACCAAAATAAGGCTATGCACACAAGAGAGGAGATATATTCTAATCCAATATTGAATAGCCATACATGTGTATTCATAAAATGGGTGCACTAAAATATTCTTCTCTAAACTTAGATTTTTTTTTATCCCACTCAAAATATAAGCTCGAAATCTCACAAGTTAAATGTAAGAGAAGAATGGACAAGAGAGAGAATTGATGGAGAAGGTTAAATGAATATCATAGTTCTTTTCACTTAAATTCTACTTAAAAACATTTTTGAATTTATATGGAATCATCACTATATTCTGGCTCCAACTTGCTTCTATCATAACATAATGGTATTCCACGGGCACACAATTTGTTTTCTTCCTTCTATTTATTTCTCTATGCCGCATGTCCTTTCTATGTTCTTTTCATTCATAGGCTTGTATGTTCTAGCTGCAATCCTTTGATTTTTATCAAAGTAACTCACTTGAAATTAACTCTTACACCCATCGATACCATAGTTAATCCAAAAACCACAACAAAATAATACTTTACTGCTCAAATTAAAAGGAGTTACAAGCAAAACACTTGAAAACAAGAAAAATAACGACAAAACACACAACTAGGTCATAGATTGAGGTGGTGGTGCTGTGGTTGGAGGGGTTAAACTTGATGAAGAAGGAAGGTTGGTGGCTAGGTATGGTAAGGAGGAATGACGGGGATGGTTTGAGATGGAAGCTGGGTTGGTGAGGGCTGTCAGGTGGCTAGAAATAGGGAAGGAGAGGTGTTGGGTGGTCGGTGGCTGAAGGCAGGGTGGAAGGAGGTGGTAGGGTAGCCGACGACTGCAGGCAGGGAGATAGCAGGGTGGCCTGTGGTTGCTAGCAAGAAGGGAGGGAGCCGACGGGCTGTGGTTGAAAGCAGGAGGGTCCGCTGACTGAAGGACAACGAGCAGAAGAGGGATTGCGTAGGGGGAATTAGGTGGAGGTCGTCACCATTACGGAGCTTGATATAGCCGGAGAACCACCTGTTCCTGAATACAACCCTAGCAAGTGAAAATACCTGGAGGCAGAAATCTGAAATAAAAAAAGATTAAATCCCAACTCAACAAGCAACATATTTATTATAAGGTAATTAGGAGGAAGGGGAAAGGGGTAGCAGTTCCAGCCCAATAGATAGCCTGCTAGTCCATCCTCCCTGCTAGACTGACACCTCACTTATTGAACTGATCAACCCTGCATCAGCCTCCTGAGGTTGGAGGAGCTTCGACTTCATTCGTCAAAGCTTCTGGGTCATTGTAGTACTATGTCAGATCCATGATACATCAAAATAATGTACTATTTTATGTATACATTTTATGTTTGTTTTGGTGTTATTGCACTTTAAAGAAGTGTATTTTTATGTTTTTGTTGCAGATAAATTAATTTTAAGCATTCGAAGTAAAAAGTAGCAAAAAGAAGAAAATTTGGAGTCAAAATAGAGATTTTCGTGATCCTGACGCCAGAGGGGCTATTTTCTCGAGAGCTAGCGCCAGAGGCGCCAGAAACCAGAGAACAACACATACTTCATTAAGTGGCACCAGAGGCGTTAAAAGCACTAGAATCCAAAGAACAACGCATACTTCATTAGGCTGGCGCCTGATGCGCCAGATTGGCGCCAGAAGCGCCAGATTGGCGCCAGAAGCGCCAGAGACGAATTAAGATGAGTAAGTCGGTTCGTGACTATTTTTCAGCAGTTTTTGAAGGCTCCAAATATTTCAAACGTCCCATGGAGTGGTTCAATGCATCTATACACTTTGAAAGACTCTTTAATGAAGAGATATGTCTCTTGGGTGAAGGGACTTATCTCTTGGTGCAAAAATGTGTGACTTTTGGGGGAAAAATTGGAGGGAATTTTGATTTTCTTTTGGGCCCTAATTAAAAAGGAGAGAAATCTAGAGAAGGGGGGGCATGAGATAGAGAGAAGTTTTGGCGTTAAAGAGAAGAGAATATTTTCTTCTAGGGTTGTAAGAGAAGAGGAAAGGTAAGAGATTTCTTCTTCATTACACTTCTAAGAGAGAATTAAGTGTGATTGTAAAGAGAGAAAGTACTTGAAGAGAATTTCTAGAGATTTGCTGGAGAAAGAGTGTTGCTTGGGAAAGAGTGTGAGATAAGTCGTGTTCTTTTCTTTCGTTATTTTCTAAACATGTTTTTATATATGAAATCCATGTTTTATCGTATCATTCTCATGAATTCTGAGTAGTCTTTTTTATCTCTCTCTACAATGAGATATGCTTTTGTGAAAGATTAGTGTTGTTTTGTATGGTTTTAAATGTCAATAAATTGTGATGATTCGAACTCTGATCTTAATTTAATTTTTGATCTGACCAATTGAAATATTAAAATTTGTTGAGAAACATACGATTCGAAAATGTTATACTTTCTTCAATAAGGTAAGAGTCACATTTAATTTCGTGAGTGAAAATGTAATCCACGGGGTTACATGCAAATAAATATGAAAATATACTTTGATGAACGCAGAGTTGGAGATTTTAATGTGAGATATTAAAATCCCTAATTTGGTCTAGTTGTTTGGAAACTAAAGCGGGATTGCTAACCCTTAGGCGAGGGAGAAGTGAGAGCTCTGGAGTGACAACTATTATCCTCTCAACCTAGCCACGAATTTAGGGACCAAACTCTGGATTAGTCAACGTTCTTTTTACAATTTTAGAGGGTAAAAATTATGATTGCTCTTATTTGACACAAGACAATTTTATATGTATTTCAAATGATTTAAATTTCTTCACATTTTATAAACTCATTGTAAATGGGAAGGATGCTTTCTTAAATTTGAACTCTTCGTTTCAAAACTTTGTTTAGTCTTTATAAGTTTACTTTTGAAGTTTAGTAATTAGTTTAGTTAACTTAGTTATTTTAACTGCATTTCATTTAACACACATTAAATTTACTTTAGATTTGTTTTGTTTACTTAAGTTTTATAATTTGAATATTGTGTTTGACGTTATAACTATAAGAATTTTCAACTTCCTGTGGGATCGATATTTAGAATTCTATTAAAGTCCTTTATTATTTGAGCGATACGTATATTTGCGTTATTATTATGGGTTTGACAGTTTAGAAATTTTATAAGATAAAATTATTTATACTAAATTTATTTTTATTAAGATTGAACTGCATATTTATTAATAGTGCTAGCCGACCACCGCATGAGTCCATGACATTGAACGTAACGGAACATTGTAGTCTCCTGACAAGTTGATCTTACACGCATTGTCATTCAACTTTCGAAGTATTCTAAATGTTCGTCTACTCTCAGTTTGAGTTTTCCAAGTGGTCCTATCTGGAATCTCTTTTTTTTTAGTCGGAACCACACTAGATCTCTTTCTTGAAAGGTCACATTTTTCATTGTCTTGTTCGCCTATACATGACACTTGTGATTTTTCTTAGTGATCTTTTTTCCAACTTTCTCGTGAAGATTTTGAACATCGTGTATCTGTCATGCAACATCCTTACAAATCGCTGATGTCGACAGGAGTGGTACCAATTCAAGTGGAGTGAGCTGGTTGCACTAGTTCACAATCACAAACAGAGTGTGATTGTGAACAAAATATCATTTCAATTTCGTTATAAATGATAATTTAGAATATCACACATTGATCGATCAAACAGAGATTCAACAACTAAAACAGAGATCGATTCTTTGAGATCCATCCTTTCTTCAAATGGAACGAACAGAGATAGTATGACTCACAGATCTGTTGTAAGCAAACTTGAACCGAGCTAAAATTAGATCCCATTGCTTAATATTCTTTCCAATAAAACATCTCAGCAGACTTTCAAGGCTCCTATTCACTACCTCTGTATGATCTTCTGTCTCTAGATGAGCTCAGAACTGAATTGAAGTTCAGTGTCTAATTTTTCCAATATGGTCCTTCAGAAGTCAGTCAAAAACTTGACATCCCTGTATGAAGCGATGACCCTTGGTATCTTGTGTAGCCTCACAATTTCTCTAAAGTACAAATCAACGACATGTGATGCATAATGCTCCATCTTTCAGAATTGATCCATCATGATTATGAATGAAATCTTGTTTTGTTGTGTTCTCGAAAGACCCACCATAAAATCTATGCTAACATCCACCCACGGTGCCTTTGGTACTGGTAATGGGTCTATAACTCTGCATTTGGTCCCCTAGTTTTTGTCATATAACAAATCCAACATTGCCTGACGTGCCGCTTCACATCTCTCGCTAGTTGGGGCCAAATGAAGTATTCTCTCATCAGTGCGAGAGTCTTGTCCCTGTCATAATGCCCTGCATGTCCTTCACTATGGCTTTCCTCAATAATGAACTCCCTCAGCGAACATTTAGGAGTGCACAATTGATTATGGTGGAAAATATAACCATAAGCTTTGTAGTACTACACAGCAGGCTTCTCTTGACATTGCTTGCAAATTTTCCCCAAATCCTTGTCTGTCTCGTGCAGCTCATTCACTAACTCAAAGTCCACAACTTGAGCCTGCATTGCAGTGATAAACAAGTGACGATGGCTACGTGCATCTGCTACTTGATTTTGACTCCTCGGCTTGTGTTTAAGAACGAACTAGATCGATGTTAGAAACTCCACCCAACTTGCGTGTTGGCCCTTCAGTTTACTCTGATTGCTTAAGAAATTCAAGGCTTTGTGGTCTGTGAAATTTGGTAGAGGTCATCACTACATCGGAGAAAGATACATCTGGAGTATAATCTATCCTCAAATACAACCCTAGCAGGGGAAAACACCTGGAGGCAAAAATTTAAAATCAGAAAAACAAGACTAAATCCTAACTCAACCAGCAACATATTTATAATAAGGTATTTAGTAGGGAGGCTTATATTTGTAATAAGGTATTTAGGAGGGAGGTTGAACCGACACCTCACTTGCTAGTCGGTTCATCCTAAGTCTCGCATCACCCATGGAACTCTGTAATTTATGGGATTCATAAGAAAGTGTTTTTAAATCAAAATCAAGTCTTAGATTTAATTTAGAGTTATGAGAATTAAAAATAAAAAGGCTTTTAAGCATCATTTTATCCAAAAGCAAAGCGAGGATTGACCTTTACCCTAAAACTACTTATTTGAATTTTATGCTTATCATAATAAATATATTGAATCAAAATGTTAGCATGTATGACTATTATCTTAAATTAACTATCATTATTTCTAATATGATTCGTGCTTTAAACCCCAATCATTGGGTGCTTTTAGTCATGGTTTGAATTTGAGTAATGTGAGGTGGGCCTCAGCCTTTTTCAAGATTTTTTTTCCCGTAAGGTGTATGCCACACAATTTATGAGGCGTGCCTTTCCTCAAAATTTAAGTGACTGCTCCTTTTATTTAGGGTTTAAATTTTTTTTAAAGGCAAATATAATTAAGATATAATAGAAAAACTCCTTTTATTGTGAGAAAATTGTATTGTAAATGCCCCATAATAGTAGAAATTGAAAAAATATGTCAGATACCTAGTTTTGGGGAAAGTTATCAAAAGTTCTTTCTGGATCAAAATTTGGCCAAAATGTGATAATCTCGAACTGCTTTCGAAGTAAAAATATATAGAATATATTTGACTGCTGTTTGATCATTGATCGGCCATGATTTGGATGGATTGGTCTTGGTTTGAAGATTGATTGTTTGAAAATGTTTTGATCATAGTATGAAGATGGTACTATCGTTTTAAAGTTGTGGATTGAAGATAATTTTGAAGAAGGTTTAATCAAGAAAGAAAGGTTTCTCGATCATAATTTTCAAACCAACCATTGTTTATTTAGTATTTGATCATCGTTCAATGGTTATTCAATTGTAGTTCAATTATTAGTTATATCTCATGCTCATATAGAGGGGATTGTTATTCTATTATACATTAGAGTGCATTTGACATGTTTTCTAAATTGATTATAATATGTATAAGATAATGACCAAAAAATATAGAGCATCTTGAAGTACTAATCATTAACATAATTATTATTTAAATTTTAATTGATATTTTTTATTGGTTGTGAGAAGTGAAAGTTCGTTGATATTGAAGCTTAGGAAGATTAAAAGAATATTGGCACAACTGAGGTTGAGGTAGGAGAGAAATATATTCATTATGACGATAATTCTAACTAGAATCCAGTGAGTTGTGAAATTGCTGAGAACATTTGAAGTTACAAATTCAAATCTTACCTACTTTGTATTTTCTTTTTTTTATTTGGGAGTGAGAGATTTATTTTGTTGAACTTATCTTAATACCTTACTTGATGTTTGCATAACATTTTTTACTTGGATGATTTGATGCTACAATTTTAGTACTTCTTACTCATATTTTGATGTTAGTATAATATTTCTTACTTTGTCTAATTTTATGATTACGTGTCTTACACCTCGAAAGGCCTTTAGAGGTTCAAAGTACCTTAAGGCTTACAACTTGCATCACAGGGAAAAAATGTCTCAATATATTATTGTGCAGTTTTAAACATTTGTTTTAGCTATTGTATATTTTATTGAGTTTGTTGTTTTTTGGTTTGGAAAAATGCTCCAAAAATGGAATTCATTATGATGTTATTTATTCTGAATGTTGAATGCAAAACCTTTTCCACTTATCTGAATAAATTATCTTTTCCACTAATATGTAGTCCTTTTGTTCCATCTTGTAAGGAAAAGGTAGTGGAATCTTGCCTCTTTGATTATATTCTTTCACTATTCTCTTTACCATAATCCATTCTTATTCTTATTTATTCAGTTTTCTTGTATCATTTCATTATTTTTATTTTTTCATCAAGAAATCATTTGGATTAGCAAGGGCCTATAATACACATATCCTGTATTAAATTTAGGGCATCAATTTTTTTTTTTTTTGATGAATAATTCTATGGTAGAAGCCCTTAACATCAGGACATCTGTGAAGGATTATGTTAGATTTTGCGGTGGTTGATCAACTCCTCTGTTTGTTTTCTTGTTTTATCTACTTGTGGCTTTTTTCCAAATTTTCATCTTGTCATGGGAGGCCTGACAAAGCAACGTTTTTCTGTTCCTTGGTAAATTACTCTTGCCCCACTACTTATTGGTTCCTAGGGGAATGAACTTCGAACTAGTTTCCCAACAATCCACTAGCAATTCCACCAACTCCTCAAATTTCTCTAAAACTTAGCCATCCCCATCTTGCATTCTATTTAATTTGTATTTAATGCAACCAATTCCGACAAACCCAAATCACCGAATCTTCAAATTTAATTGCGAAGCTTACTGCTGCACCCTCTCTTTTTCAATCATAGCTAGGAATTTTTTTTGAAAGGGGCAAAAAAATAACACCAATACCAAATATTATATCTTAAAATTTTAAGGGAGCATTATCTTGATATTTACTGTAAATAAATTAATTTTTATGATTTTGTCTTGGCACGCACTCAAAATTTAAAGCTGGATACATTTATTTTCCCAAGCCTAGCTGAATCTCTCTCCTTTTTTGCGAATTCTTGCACTAAGGCTCCGTTCCTCTCTGCTATCCGAGGCACGCTTTCTCTCAACTCACATATAACAAAGGCTCCATTTAAAAAGAAAAAAGAAAAAAAAATATAAATGGGGTTCAATTGTTTTATTTTCCTCTAAACCATATGATCTCTTCCAACTGCATGATAGTCTTCTTTCTCCTTGCTAGCCTCATACTTTTTTTTTCATTCCTCAAGATTTATGTTTTTAAATTATGTGATAACTATTCAATTTAGAGCTTCATTTGTATGTTGTCATTAAGGTATTTGAAATGTTTTTTGTTTGGATTAACTTGACATGATTGAATATGCTTTATCAATTATAGAACCATGCTTGAAGAACTTCTGCTCCAAAGTGGGCAGCAATTAATATAAATTTATGGTTTTCATGGGAATGGTTAGGATGGTTTAGTTAGGACGCGATCAAGAAAGATGAGAACCTTGGTTGTGAGTAATATCATTTTGTGGTGTTTGTGGGCCAAGTATTTTCACTTTGAAGTAAATTACACTGTTTCATAGCCACCATCTAGAGGCTGAGTATAAAATATTAATTTTAATAGGTGTGATATTTTTAAAATGGTCATTAATATTATTGCAAGATCAAGTGATATCTAATTGCGATATATTTAAATATTTTGGATTTCTTATAGAGGAAATTAGGCATATTGATGGGGATATGACTTCCAAAGTCAAGGCTAACTGCCTAAAAGGGATGAACTGCTTTAGGTGTACGATGTAGTAAGAGAAAATTATAAAAGTTTAAAGGCAATTTGATAAAACTATAATTAGGACTATTATGTTATATTCTTCAAGTGTTGAACAATGTAGATGTCGTTGATAGCTAACCTTGTTATGACATAAATGAGAGTATTAAGATCAATGTTTAGTAAATAAGGATATATTGAGAGATGATTATTTATAAAAATGATGGGATTAACTTCTATTGAATGTAAGTTACTGGAAAAACATACTTAGATGGTTCAATCACATGCAAACGAGGACAGAAGATTGTAGGATAAAATTTATGTTTAAAATTTAAAAAGTAAATAAGGGATTTTACTTATAAGATGAAATGGCTAACAGTTGTGTTGCTCAAAACAGAGTTAGCAAAGCAACACTCGTTATGAATGAAGATTATGAGTTTATTTAGCTAGTCCCAAATAACCATGACATGGACAATCAAGACGATGATGTTCTTACAGGTTTTGATACTTATTAAAATTATAATGTTTTTGAACTTGACGAAGTCATAATGCTTTATAAAATTTTGCCTTTTTTTTACATATTTTGTTTAAGACTGGAGATGGGGCATATTGAAAACAGGAAGTAAAATTTTCCTGTGTAATTTGGCAAAGTTAGATGAATGAAGCATGTGTTGCTAATCTCTTAATGCATTGCTGATATCTTGACTGTTTTCATTTAGGTTTATGACAATTCAACTGAAAAGAAATTTAATATTCTGCATCTGTTGCATTGCGCTCAACCCAGAGTAGTCTAGCATTTCCTATATTCTATTTGGTGTCTCATTATTTTGAAGCACTTCTGGGGGAACATGCTTGTACAAATCTGGCACGTAGGGAAAAACATGACACGTGCATTGAAGCCCCTGGAGATTTTGACATCTGCACTGTTGTTAGATAAATGGCGGTGATAATCCCAATGATGCAGGGAGCAAATCTCATTGTAGATCCAAATGCTATGATCCTCAGCTTTTTATGTAGCTCTGTTTCATAAGCACTTTCTCTCATAATCCATGACCCAACAGTTTTTGATAATTCATTTTATTCTGTATAACAGGTTTCTTATTTTCATTTTATTATTCAACATGTTAGGGAAAGGGACAAAGACAGAGATGGGAAACTTAGTTTCCAAGAATATTTTAATGGACTATTTGACTCTTTGCGTAATATTGAAGAAGTTTACAATCACTCAGATACATCAGATGGAGCACAATCTAATAAATTATTCAAAGAACTTGACAAGGATAACGATGGGTATGCTTGCGGCTATTTTTGACAATGAAAAACAGAAAATTTATGGTCTTATTGTTATTTTCCTCTATAGGTTTCTTACTGAAGATGAACTTATACCTGTCATTGGTAATCTTCATCCCTCAGAACGGTACTATGCTAAACAACAAGCTGATTATGTGCTAACTCAGGTATTGTTTCATTACCCAAATTCAACGTTTTTTTTTTTTATTTCTCATTCAAGTTGCTTAGATAATATTATTGTTGAGGCCAACAACCACGGACATTGGGGTTCTCATAATATTGGGTGGGGATCTGAGATCATTGGGGATGGACAGTTTGACGTCCTAGATGGTGACATTCCCACAAACAACCGTAAAAATACCAAAAAAAAAAAAAAAAAAAGAAATGAAGTAAAAATACATAAAATATAAATAATCTCAAACAACCTTTTTAAGTAACAAATTGGTTATGTAAATTCTGCCGGCATACCTTTTTTTGTTATGTTTTCATTCTTGGGAAGGTACGGCATTATTGCTTTTATTTGTTGTATATATAAAGCTATACATGAATATTGGTTGGTTTAGTCAAAGTCCTATGAAGATGTTTTGATATAATGAAAGTACCATATAAACTGTTGTGCATTAGCTAATTTTTGAATAATTTACTATTGTTTTCTAATACATTTGATTTATGAGAGTGCTTTGATACTGTTAATTTAGAGCCAAATTCATTGTTTTAAATTGGATCTAATTTTTTTGAACCACTATTTAATTTTTGTTTCGCAATTGTAGTATTGCCTTAGAACCAAGGACTGCTAGCTTCGATAGCATGCTCCTAGGTTCCCATAATAAATGTCACATGTTTATGCTCTAGCTTTGGCAGTATGATCTGTTAACCTTCTTGTATGGTGGGTAATATGTTTTATAGCTCATTATAGAATTCATGGCCCGTATATGGGCTTTACACCGGACTTAGGATTATTAAAATATAAAGATAGATTTTTATCCATTAAAAAATCAGCCCAAAACCATCTTTGTATGTTAACACTCAAATGGAAAGTTTAAGGGTTAATGTTAAGTCAACTTGAAGAGGTTGATAGTTATTATTAAGCCTGTCTCTAATCATAAAGCTTATGCCAAAAACAATAAAATGTAGGTAAAGGTTTACTAGGGCATAGCTTGTATGTTACACAACCCATCTCAACTTCATTGTGGTGAAATATGCGAAGTTTGACTAGGATCTACAAGCAGCGCACAATGTTTCTATCCATTTGGTGTGAAAAGTAGGTAAAGGTTGGCTAAGACATCACCTACAAGACCACAACATACGCCAATTGTGTTGAAAAGCTGGGTAGATTTGATTAAGTTTAAAACTAAAATTAGATTCACTATTATATGGAATCTGTCAACCTTAAACGTGAATATTAGAGACTTGGTGGGCGCAATAGTTAGCAGAACAAGTATTCATTGTTTGCAAGAATATAAATGGAGAAAGGAATATTCAATGATTTCGGGAACATTATAAGTCTATGTCGAAAAGGTTAATAAGAGGTATGGGGTTGGGATAATGGTGTAGAGAGAGTTAAAAGTTAATTATTGAGGTGATGAGGGTTAATTATAGGATGGATGCTAAAAGGTTAATTAGTAGTGAGGACATTATTCTTGTGGTTAATGCTTCATGTTGGATTATAAGGTAATTGAAAGAGTGAAATGGGTAAAATAGGAATGTTGGTACTAAGGAGAGAGAGATATAAAATAGATTTATGCAAAGGATAAGCAATTTATAAGCTTTAATCAAGTTGTGTGCATTGCAATGAAGACATTGTCACTTTAGTTAAAGATGAAAACTTCATACAAAAAATTTATTAAATTAGAATTAAAGATGAAAATCATTCGATGAGCGGATGAAATAATTATGATGTAGAGATTGCAACAAAACAAAAATTACAACAAAACAACAACAAGCCTTTATCCCACTAAGTGTGGTCGGCTACATGATCCCTTTTTCTCCACTATGTCTTATTGAGTGTCATATTTTCATATTTTCATTTAATTATAATAAATTAAGATCATTTTTTATTCAACATACCCAAATCTTTTTATGTCCACCTCAACTTTTCTTAAAACAAGTTGAATCTAAAAGTTCTACTGTCCTAACTGGATCATCAGATGGTCAACGTTTAATGTTACCAAATCATTTAAGACGACTTTTTATTCTTGTCTGCTACAGGAGCTACGCCAACCCCTTCATGGATATATTTCTTTCGTAGTTTATCCATAAGTGTAAAGCCACTAATCTACCTAAGCATTCTCATCTCAGTAACACTTAGTTTTATTCTTTTCTTTTATAGGCTAACATTCTGTTCCATAAAGCATTGCTATACTAAAGATTGATAAAAAAAAATGCAGTGGGTTTCGTTCTAAGGATAATAAATAAGTAAAATTTTTGTTCTAGATGACTTGGGAGTTGAGATGTAGATATATATGTAGAGTGTTTTTTTGTTTGTTGAATAAAAATCCATTGAAATATTGAAGATTAGGAAGATGTAGAATGATTTGTGAATAAACAATTTCTTATGTCAAATTTTAATAATAAAGGAGATTTTTGAGATTATGTTATTTTAGTAGAGCCAAAGTTATGAGTCACACAATGAAATTATGTTAAAAACTTATGTTTGTCTCAATCAATTTTTTCATGCCAAGAAAATCCACTATTTAAGCAATTTGCTCAAGATAATTAATGAAAACGGTAAATCGTTGAGAGAGGATTCCTTTTGATTTTTATTAATTTTGTGAAGGCTTATTGTTTCCTATCACAAGAATTCACTTGGTATGACTCATGGAAGAATTAGATGTGTTTAAGATCCCATTGAGATGCGATTGGATAGGATGGTCCTAGCCATACTTTTATAATGATAACCAATCGCAGGTTCCATTTTCCTTGGTTGAATAGGGTTTGATCTAATCATGCTTTCATAATGATTTTACTTAAAAATTTTATCACGCATTTGGTTGAAGAGGTTTCGACTCAACATAGACTTCATTAAAAAAATACTTAATGGAGAAGATTCTCACTGAGGCTCCACTTGGTGAAATAAGCTTTATGCTGATGTTGTTCTTGTTAGTAGACTCGTACTAATTGAAGATCATAATCTCATTCTTTCTTGCTCTATATTCTAGAAATATTCTCATTTGGAGAATGTTGGAAGATTGTTCACTTTTACTATGGCATGTTGATTGCATAAAACATTAAAGTGAAGTAACAAATTGTTGAAAGATCTCGAAAATAATTAGGATTATATTCCATATTTGTTATACTATATATTTAGAGGGTTATGAATTGTATGAATGACTTAGAAATCACTATTTATTTTCTCCTTAATTAGGGAGATTAGCTGTCTCTTATATTTGTTATTATTCATTTCCTTGTCTACTGTCTTGTCTTTCCTTGTCTACTGTATCCTGTTTTTATTGTTTTCTTTACCAGTAAATCCTGTAATGGGTATTTATACCCCTCTTTACATCACTAAGAAAAAAGCCATCTTATATTTCTTCATGGTATCAGTGTCTGATCTGCAGGGATGTCTTCCTCTGAGCAAGATCGCTAAACCCTAGAGCTTGCGGCGGCTACAATAGCGTCTGATCCGCAGCGGCGCCTTCCTCTGAGCATGATCGCTAAACCCTAGAGCTTGTGGCGGCGATTGATATAACTAGTAGTCGGGATCGTGATCGGCGTAGAGACCTGGAACTCCGCCTTTCCTTTCTTTTGCTTCGTCGTCACGAAGCAACTGCGACTAGAGCTCGCTGGGAAGGCAACAAGAGGATCACATCTCGCTGACAAAGATTGCGCGCGTGGTTGATGAAGCTATTCCGCATCTCGAAGTCCTTTCGACGGCGAAGACGGTAATCTTTTGCTTCGGCGGGCGAATCTCGGGATCCTGTTGCACGCTCCATTCTTCATCTCTAAAATGTCTGAAGTAACGTCTAAGACAAGCCAACCTCTTCAGCTATCTCATTCTGAACCTCAGAGAAAAACATCGAAAACCATCCCGTTCAGACTGCAATCCGACTAAATAGTGATAATTTTCTTCGATGATCATAATCTGTTCCCTTGTATCTCCGAGGAAGAGGGAAGATTGGTTATATCACAGGTGATACTAAGCTGTCTGGCGTGAATGACATAATTTATGCCATTTGGGATGCGGAAAACTCAATGGTAATGAAATGGTTGGTCAATTCCTTGACTGAAGAGATAAGTGTAAATTATCTGTGTTACTCTACAACCAAGGAATTATGGGACAATGTTTCAGAAATGTACTCTGATCTTGGAAATCAATCCAAAGTTTACGAGTTTACTTTACGATTTGGGGAAATTTGCCAAGGTGAGAATTCTGTGACAAAATATTTCAATTCTCTTAAGAGGATTTGATAGGAATTGAACTTATTCAACGATCATGAGTGAAAATCAAACGATGACTGCAATCAGTACAAGAAGATAGTGGATACTGGTTGATTCTTCGAATTTCTTGCAGGTTTAAATGTTGAATATGATGAGATCTGTGGCCGAATAATTGGAAGAAATCTCTGCCTCCAATTGGTGAAGTTTTTGCAGAGGTAAGGAGAAAAGAGAGTCGGAGACATGATGTTGGGGAAGAAGACTGTAGGTTCAACCGTGACCATGGAAGGATCAGCGCTGGCTATTCTTGAAGCTCAAGTAAGCAGAAAAACTTCTCACAAACAATGTGTAGAAGACAAAAATAACCTGTAATGTGATTACTGTGAAAAGCCACGCCATACTTCCGAAAAATGCTGGAAGTTGTATGGTAAACCATCTAATGGTAAGGAAAAAATCTGGTGAACATAGCAGACCTACAACAAATGAGGTTGAGTCATCCCAAATTAGTAAAGAACAATTAAGTCATCTTCTTAAACTGTTGAAATCTTTCTCATCATCCAATGCTCCTATCGGTTCTATAGCACAAACAAGTAGTAATCCTTTGGCTTTATATGTTCTAGAAAGTATCACTCCTTGATCATTGATTCAGGAGCATCTGATCATATGGCATGTTCTCAATTATTTGATTCATATTATTCATGTTCTGATTCCCAAAAAATAAGAATAGCTGATCCTAGTTTTTCATCTATTGTAGGAAAAATAAATATTAAAATTTCAGAAAAAATCTTTTTGA